CCCCCCCCCCCCCCACCAAAAATAAAAGATTTCAAGTTATTTGAAGAAAGATAATGAAGACAAAAGTATGAATTGTACACATGAAGATAAGGAACAATTATTTTTCATTTCACATTAATTTAAGTTTATGTGCCATAGCTATTTAGTACAATAATTAATTTTTTTGAGAAATTCTGGTTTAGTTCAGTTTAGTACCTGGTTTAGTCACTGCCTCAACCGGTTCTGTAGAATCTGATGCTTTTCCTACACCAGCCTTATTCTGAGCGCGCACACGGAAAACATACGATTCCCCCATCTTTAGATCCTTGATCTAGAACAACAGAAACAATATTTACTACCATAAACCTACCCTTGTGAAAAAAGAAGTGAACTTAATTGTATTAAATGGTAACTTTTAGCGCACTTAAAATATTAAAAGTACATTTAAAAAAAAAACTTTACAGTACTTGCAGATAATATAATATTAATGAAATAAAAGGCCACTGGAGTGACTTAAAGAAAGACACTTTCATAACACACTTAAGTACACTTTTAAAAAATGCACTTTATAATAATGTCAAATTAAAAGTTGTAAAGTACATTTTGAGACATTGTGTTTTAATAATCTTTTGTTGTGCTTATTTTGACTTACTAAAGCACATGTAAAGGTTAAGGTTAATATATTTTAAATGTACTAAATTACAAATCTGTAATTTCAAATATATTTAAATACATGACACAAGTTTCAATAGAAATGACATTAAAGTACATTTTAGTTTACGATAAATGATTGTCAGTTCATTCACTACACTCTAACCATATTTCAAAGACAACCAAAGTAATTATGAAATTACATATACCCCCGGTTTCACAGACAAGGCTTAAACCTAATCCCAGACTAAAATGTAAATCTGAGCTGTTTCAATTTAAATAAACTTGCACTTACTGATCTTTAAAATATGTCAGTGCCTTTGTTTTGTCTCAAGATGCACACCGTAATGTTTTTTTTTTTAAGGCACGTTTATAAAAACTACTTAAATGTCCTAATTGACCTATTGCCTAATCCTGGCTTAACCTAAACCCTCTCTATGAAACCAGGCCATAAAGATGTACTTAAATCCTACTTAAGTGGGTCAGAAAACACTCTAAATTTGAGCTAAATGCATTTAATATAAATTTAAACTATAATACATTTTCATTTAATTGCAATGCAACTAAGTGTCCTAAAACACTGCATTCAGTTCACACTTAAGTATATTCTTAAATACACTATATTATTTACTGAAAAAGTATTCTCTTTAAAATTTTTCTTAAGAGTACTTTTTTCTCAAGGGCATGCCATTGTCACAACCCTTAACAAGCCAACTCCACTGCCCCTTGATTTCTACATGCATACAAACCTTTATGAATGTCTTGTCAGTAGCTTTCTCATTGACTCCTCTCCACATCTCAAAGTCTGCTTCAGCCTCTTTGATATCAATGTAGTATCCATTGACAGGATCACGACCCTGGTAGACAGGCGGTTTCCAGAGCAAGACCAGAGAGTCCTTACGCACCTCCTGCACTTGGAGGTCATGGGGTGGTCCTAAAAACAGGTTTTTAGTGTAGAGCATTTCAGATGGAGCCGATGTGATGAATAAAGTGAAAATGTGCTTTAAGTACATTAAGCAATACTGGATGAGTCGTAATTTTTTAGATTGTTATTTGATTGAAGTTAAATATCATATGAACCCTACTTCCAGAATTCTGAAGCATGTGCTTTAAAACTACAGTGTATTTTATTCTATTGGAATTATAACAGTCATGGGAAATTTATGTTCTAATAGGTCTAGTTTTTATTTAGCTTTTGTTGGAGTATATAGGATCCTTAAGGATAAGTTCCAAATTCTGATTTTAATTGGATTTCTTTAGGATTTTTGACTGAGGACTACAGATTATCAGTGTGCTCAGTATCTTAATTGTATTTAATGTTCAGTATGCTGAATTGTATTTAATGTGCACTTGTAGTTTACTTAATATCTATATATATATATATACTTTTAAGATTTTAAGTAAACTACGTGTATATATATATATATTAAAGAAAAACTGTACTTGCAGATAATATAATATCAATGAAATAAAAGGGCACTTAAATGTACTTAAGAAGAGACATTTTCATGACTGTTTCTTAACACACTTAAGTACACTTAAGTGCACTTTGTAATGACATTAAAGTATATTTCAGTTCACCATAAACGCTTTTCAGTACATTCAGCAGTACTTCGACCATATTTCAAAGACAATAGTTTGACAAAATTATGAATTAGATTAGATTAGCACTTAGCCTACTTAAGTGGGTCAAAACAACACTCTAATGTTCAGCTAATTGCACTTTTTAACTATAATTCATTTTCATTTAATTACAAATAACATGGAATTACGTGTCTGAAAACATTACATTCAGTTCACATGTAAGTATATTCACACTTAAGTACTCTTATAAAAAGTATGTTTTTTAAAAGATTACTTAAGTGTGCTTTTTTTGTCACAAGGGTTACTTATTGTAAGCTTTACAGCTCTGGAAAGTAAAATTATATATTTATTTTTCTAATTCATATGTGCCTACCCGGTACAGCAATAGTCCACTCCTCACACTTGAATGTCTCACTGGGAAGAGACGGGATGCCCACACCAGCCATGTTGGCTGCACGTACCTGGAACTGGTACAGCATGTTTTCCTTAAGCTTTGAAACCTAGGCAGAAAGACGAGGTTGGAGATCACAAATTGGCCACAGCATGGTCTAATATTTTACTTGTTATTACACAAATGTCCTACTTACTCTATAAGCTCTCTCACTGACAGACTTAATATTCGCCTCGTGCCATTTTCCTGGGACTCCACCAATGACCTCACGGTAATCAACAAAGTAACCAGTGATGTCAGCGCCGCCAATGAAAGTGGGTTGTTTCCAGGCTAGTACCATCGAGTCCCGCACACACTCCAGCACAGTGATGCCGTAGGGTGGAGTGGGTGAAGCTGGCATAACAAAACACTACAGTTAGCAGTGAAGCACATTTCCAGTATACAGGAAAATTAAGATAGACTGAGCGTATACCAGCGTATGTGGAGTAAAATATTCAAACCAAACACAGAACTGTAAAAATACAGACTGGCACTATGGCATTGCAAGGAGGGTATCGTATAGTAGGGAGGTGTCCAGCATATTGCCAGTTGTGGCTGGTGGCATAAAAGAAGCGAAAGAGTATCCCTTGATGCATTTGTGTGGATAGTGATGTTATTTGAGGGTTTCAAAGTCAAGTGCCGCTGAGAAGACTTACCATATATTAAAATTCCTCATGGGAAAAACCAGGTCAGACCAGTTTAAGATGGTCAAGTTTGTTTTTAGAACTGCTGTAGACCAGCTTGCATCAGCAAGAAACCATTAGAAACAGGTTTTATCTGGATTTTCCAATGTGGTTGTGGTTGACTGACCAATTGATTTTAGCAGTCTTATCTGCATGTTGATATACTTTATAACCACAGCATGACTACAAGCTCAATAAAACAACTGCAATATGCTAATTTCATGAGAGGTCTTATGTCGACCCTTGTAAAAAAAGAGGTTCACTTCATTGTACTGAATGTGCACTTGTAGTGAATTTCAAATCTTAAAAGTATATATTTAAAAACTGTTCTTGCAGATAATATAATATTAATGTAATAAAAGGCCACTTAAGTGACTTAAAGAAAGACACTTTCATGTCAGTTTCTTAACACACGTGAGTACACTTTTAAAAAGTGCACTTTGTAATAATGTAAAACTTTTACTTTAAAGTACATTTTACACCATTGTAAGTTATTTAAATTAATGTTTACTAATCTTTTGTTTTAAAAACACACTTAAGAACAATAATAAATAAATTAAGCACACTTATTTTGATGTGTTGACTAACATACTAATGTAAAGTACTTGATTTTAGAGTAATTGATTTTTAACTGTAGAATGTTATTCAACATTTAATTTAAACCTAATATATTTAAAATGTACTACATTGCAACTTACTCCGTACAAATGCGTAATTACAAATATGTTTAAATACATGACGTACAAATTTCAATAGAAATGACATTAAAGTATATTTTAATTTACCTTAAATGATTGTCAGTATATTATCAAACATTGATATATGGCATATTTCAAAAATTATAAGTTTAATAAGTCCTACTTAAGTGGGTCAAAAAAGCACTCTAAAGTTCATTTAATTGCATAGGATGAACTTGAGTGCTTTTTTGACTTGTGTATTAAATGTACAATAGTTTATATTTGCATTTAATATAAATGTAAAATATGTTTTTTTTTATTACATTGCAGTTAACTTACAATTAAGTGTCTGAAAACATTACATTCAGTTTGCATTTAAGTATATTATATTGTTTCTGTAATTAGTACTCTTTTTTTTTTTTAATATGATAAAATGTACTTCTTTTCCTCAAGGGTCAATCTGACAATAATGACCAAATAAATGATTAATGAGTGGATAAGTGGATAAACTGCAATACACTAAATAAGTGTTTAAAAAAGATAGAGAGTGAAAAATTCAAGATGCAAAAATGCAAAAGAAATGAATTAAAAATGAATGGAAAAAACAACAGGAGAGGAGAAAATGGAGGCAGGCCAACTCTGAGGAGGGATGCCGATGGGTGACATTCCAGAGAGTTGGTTTTCTCTCTCTCTTCTCACCTGAGCCTCTTCGTCCTCTCTCTCGCTCTCCTGCTTTCTCTTGTTCCGGAGAAGAGTTTACTGAGGACTTATGACTGTCCGGCAATTCTGTTGCCGACTCCTTTTGGATACAGTTGGGCTTTAACAATTCAGTGCTAGAGTTTGCAACCTGTTTAGTAGTTTCCTGCCCACAAGCAGGTTCTGGTTCTCGCTGACTGGCTCTTTTGCCCTGTTTGCCTTCATTTGATGCAGTTGGATGGCCTTTGTGGTCAGTGTTTTGACCCCCTCCCTCAACCCTCTCACTAACATTAGCTATGTGTGTTAGAGGCGTGTCAGCAGGGGAGTGAGGCGCCGCATGCCTGCCCACTCCGCAAGAGCTGTGCTGGGTTAGTCCGACCCTGTTACCCCCTGACTCCAGACACACACCATGAAGAATACCGCCCCCTACAGGAGTTAGCAGAGAAAACAGCAAGAGAGAGCAGACATGAATTCAATTAAAACAAAATCACATTCAGAATGCTTCACATTTAATTCCTCTAACAGAACAACAGTAAAATTAAAATTTTAATATTTATGGTTTATGGCTTTTTTATGGCTAGTTTTATATATTAACCAGCACTGATGTTTCCTAATATCTGCAGCTACTTTAAAAGTAGTGTAACTTTTACAATAAGAAACTACTTTTGCCAATCAAAAATGTTTTTTTTTTTTGCAAGCTTTGCAGCCAAGCAAAAAAGCAAACAAACAGAGACAATCAAAAAACACTCTCCTAAATGAATCTCTTTGCATATATTGTTATGAAGTCCAATTCCCTGTGGATTTTTTATTTTTATTTTTTTTTATAATTTATGCTGTTTTATTGTAAATTTATCTGTTCACATTGAGTTTTTGTGCCCTGGTTCTCGCTGACTGGCTCTTTTGCCCTGTTTGCCTTCATTTGATGCAGTTGGATGGCCTTTGTGGTCAGTGTTTTGACCCCCTCCCTCAACCCTCTCACTAACATTAGCTATGTGTGTTAGAGGCGTGTCAGCAGGGGAGTGAGGCGCCGCATGCCTGCCCACTCCGCAAGAGCTGTGCTGGGTTAGTCCGACCCTGTTACCCCCTGACTCCAGACACACACCATGAAGAATACCGCCCCCTACAGGAGTTAGCAGAGAAAACAGCAAGAGAGAGCAGACATGAATTCAATTAAAACAAAATCACATTCAGAATGCTTCACATTTAATTCCTTTAGTCTAACTATCCAAGTTCATCTCAGTAGAAAACTTAAGCAGAAGTCTGTATGCATGCAAGAGATAATCACATTTGTTTTTGCAATATTCTATTCAAATTATGAAAAGAGGCAATGAAAACAAGCAATGAAGCAGCAAGTTATTTTCAGGAGAAGTGAGCTAAGGGAAACGAAAGGAAAGTTTAGAAAGATCATTTGGCAGATGATGGAGTTATTTAGTTTAGTTTGTGCATTTTAAAGTCAAAATTTTAAGCTTGTTAAACCTTTATGAAAAAGGACATAACATCACACTATAGCGTTACATCAAGGCACATAAAACTCAGTGAAAGCCAGATAATGCAACAAAGATGCTAGTTAGTTGACCAGCAACCGAAATAACAACAGCTAGTAAAAGTGAATATTTAATTTATATATATATATATATATATATATATATATATATATATATATAAACACAAAAACTACTAAAAATGCTAACAGAACAACAGTAAAATTAAAATTTTAATATTTATGGTTTATGGCTTTTTTATGGCTAGTTTTATATATTAACCAGCACTGATGTTTCCTAATATCTGCAGCTACTTTAAAAGTAGTGTAACTTTTACAATAAGAAACTACTTTTGCCAATCAAAAATGTTTTTTTTTTTTGCAAGCTTTGCAGCCAAGCAAAAAAGCAAACAAACAGAGACAATCAAAAAACACTCTCCTAAATGAATCTCTTTGCATATATTGTTATGAAGTCCAATTCCCTGTGGATTTTTTATTTTTATTTTTTTTTATAATTTATGCTGTTTTATTGTAAATTTATCTGTTCACATTGAGTTTTTGTGCCAGAGAGTACTGCTTTGATTTGAAAAAGGTGTGCTCAAGAAAAGCATGTTTCATAAAGGATAAGTGAGCATGATGCTCAACAGAAAGTCCATGGCTGTTAAAGGTCATGACATGGAAAGTGTGAAAGACATGCAGAAGGGACGGGTTTGAAAAGATTGAGGGAGTGGGAAGGAGTGTACGTGGGAGAGCGGGTGAGCTGGTTTTGTAGTCACTACTATGTTGGATCAGTTGTGACCCAAACTAGAGGAGGTCTACAAGTCCTGACCCCTGGGAGGAATGCAGGGAGCGGAGCTAGAGTTTGGTGGCCTTGACACTAATGTGTCATATAGGACGTGTGGAATGCGTTACAGTGGTCAGAATTAAAAAGTGAAAGCTGGAAAAGTGAAATCATATTCTAAAGATCTTAATGATACCAATAGGAGTGTATAAATGACTTACTGATAGCAGCTTTAACTTTAATGGCTTCTGATTCCTGTGAGAATTCACTGATTCCTGCAGCATTGACGGCTCTTACTCGGAAAACATAACTCTCGTCAGTGGTCAAGCCATGACAGATAAACCTGCATAAACACATGAACAGATATTAATGTTACAACCTAAAATTCAAATCTCAAACAAACAGTTCTAACATTTATTAGTGAAACTTGCTAAGACAAACATTGTATTGTTGCTTATATTATTGTTCATTTAATAAACCCTTCAGTCCCTAATGGCATGTTTACACCAATCAGACACAAAAATTCACATTTCGCAGATGTATAGAAGCCCATTTCCACCACTGAATAAAAAATAAAAAAGGTAAATTTGTTTTTTTATCTTACAATTTCTGACAATTTTTTTCTCGCAATTCTGACTTTTTTCTCACAATTGCGAATTTGTATCTCGCAATTCTGACTTTTTTTCTTGCAATTGCGAGTTTGGATTTCGCAATTCTGACTTTTTTTCTCGCAATTGCGAGTTTGTATTTCGCAATTCTGACTTTTTTCTCGCAATTGCGAGTTTGTATTTCGCAATTCTGACTTTTTTCTCGCAATTGCGAGTTTGTATTTCGCAATTCTGACTTTTTTCTCGCGAGTTTGTATTTTGCAATTCTGACTTTTTTCTCGCAATTGCGAGTTTGTATTTCGTAATTCTGACTTTTTTTCTCGCAATTGCGAGTTTGTATTTCGCAATTCTGACTTTTTTCTCGCGGGTTTGTATTTTGCAATTCTGACTTTTTTCTCAATTGCGAGTTTGTATTTCGCAGTTCTGACTTTTTTTCTCGCAATTGCGAGTTTGTATTTTGCAATTCTGACTTTTTTCTCGCAATTGCGAGTTTGTATTTCGCAATTCTGACTTTTTTCTCGCGGGTTTGTATTTTGCAATTCTGACTTTTTTCTCAATTGCGAGTTTGTATTTCGGCAATTCTGACTTTTTTCTCGCAATTGCGAGTTTGTATTTCGCAATTCTGACTTTTTTCTCGCAATTGCGAGTTTTTATTTTGCAATTCTGACTTTTTTTCTCACAATTGCGAGTTTGTATCTCACAATTCTGACTTTTTTCTCGCAATTGCAAGTTTGTATTTGTATTGTGAGAAAAAAGTAAAGATAAAAGATAAAAAGCCGCAATTACTTAAAAAAAAAATATTATTCAGTGGCGGAAAATGGCTTCCATACAGATGATTTGTCTGTTCAGAGCAATGCATAAAAAAGGCAGATGGCCTGAATGGAAGTGCAATTTCAATCTCGGCCAGCGGGTGGCGCTTATAACAGAAATATCTTTCTAACTTTCCGTTTCTCACAGAAAACGAGGGAAAAAACCTGGATAACAATATTTACATGCTTTTAAACTGCTGTAACACCAAATACACAAGTAAAAAGACAAAAGAGCCTGTTCTGTATTCTTCCTCTGCTATCACTGTAGTCTGAGCGCCATCAAGTCGAAGCTTTAATGGCAGCGGCTGTTAACACGTGACTAAATGCGGCAATTTAATTAGCTGGCCAGATTTATTAAAAATGCGAGGGAAAAAAGAAATTAGAACACATCTCCGTAAAATATTTGCATAGCGTTTATTTAATACGGAATAACTGCCGACGGGTCGTTGACTTATTAGAAAAATAATGCACACTCGAGGTGGTGATGTGGCCATGACGCGAACCATGTCTTTATTCTATGTGTTTGAAAAGAAAGAAAGTGTGCTTTCCGTCGGTTTGCTGTGAATTTGTGGGGAATAGTCAATTTTATCCTATTGTTTACAATGTTTTGAGCTTGGTCAGTGTATTTGTGGGTTTTGGTTGTTTTGCAGTTGTAGGCTGTAAGGACATTTGAAATAAATCTGAAATCATTTGGCGAAGTGATATGGAATTGTAATGCGGTCAAGACCTGCCTGGAACTACTTTAGCCGTGCGTTTCCCTGAAAATAATGTCACACCTCAGAACACTCGTCAACCAAACAGAATCAAGCATTTAAAAGGTTTATCTCAGGTGAAATCGTTCAGGAACGTTTGGAACTATTTTCTTTGGAGGAGAAGGAGTCTATAAACCAACTGGCCAATTTGTGTCTGAAACGTAAGTTACTTTATATTAATTATAGCATATAGAATATTGTTTATGGAAATGTTGTCTAAAAGCAATATCACTTTTGGAATCATGCTGTTGTACTGAATATTAGACTGTGATCACTGCCTTGTACCTATGGCCATGTTACAGTTGTGATATTTAGTATAGCAGCACTCTTGCTTGTGTGTTTTGATTAATTGTAATTACACTGTATGTGTCGTTATACCTTGTGCCTTTAACTGGTTTGTTGTTGCATGGCTCCCAAGTGTTGCTCCCTGCAATGTTGCTCTCAATGTAGTAGCCCACCAGCTCTTTAGCATCACGTGAAGCTTCCCATGAAACCACCACAGATGTGTCTGTATTGCGGGTAGGAACCACACGGCCTGGGGCTGATGGGATATCTGCAGGCAGGTAAAGAAAAAAATTAAACTATTATAGAATTTATTATATTTAAGATCAACCAACAGTTATTTGTATGCAGTAATTATTTTGGTAATATAATCAAAGCTTCTGCAAAGCAAAACAGCAAACAGCTTTTAGTCGAGATGAACAAACAAGTTTAAACATCCTGCTTTTTACGTGACTACTCACCAAAAATAATGACATGGAAATTAAATATGCATATGAGTTTAAATTGTTTTAAAATCGCACATCAAACCAAAATGTATTCAGACACCTTCAACATCTCTCACATTATCACAGTTTGTTCGCTATAGTTTAGAAAATGGTAATAAAATATGACAAGAACTCAAGAGTTAAACTGTGCCAGAACAAATTCATCTTGATAATGTCAGATTACTTTGATAGAAAGGTATGCAACAAAACATGGTCAGGTCAAAGTGTCAAATAAAATTTTTGGTCCCAAATTTTTATCAGTTTTACTAGTAGTCCACTGTATGAAGAATTTTTTGATATAATATGTCACCGTTTACTTTATTTTGCTATCCTCGCTTACATAAATGAACAATAGTGTCTTGCACCCACTAGTAAAAAAATACAAAAAAAATTATATCTGGTGTCTGAATAATTTTGGTTTGACTGTATATTTTTGTCAAGATTTCCACAATAATAAAAATTAAATTTTCAAAACTGATCTGTAAAAGGTGGTAACCAGCAACTTTTACCGTAATGAGCTCCCTTTCAGTCAGTCACGTTCGACGTTACGTCAGTCGTGACTGACGAATTGGGATCTCGCCCGAGAGCCCAATCACCTTCGAGTGTTAACTAAACAAGCCAATGACAGTTGTCGTGTGCGTGTTTCGCCACGCGCACCCCGCCCTGCAGCGCGGGTATAAAAGGAGAGCGCGTGCAAACGCACATCAGCTTTTCGCTACGGAGCTGAGCCTTCTACAGGACGAATCTCCACGAGTGTTTGGGAAACAGCTGGCGTTGGTGTTACGACGTGTCAGCGGGGGTTGCCATCCAGGCTGCTGAAACCTCGGCAGGCTGCAGCGTCCATTCTGCGGTCCCGCCGCGAACAAGCTCCCATTCTGGATGTTGACGCAGAAACGCATCTTTCAATGCGTCCGTCCCTTCGATTGGTTCGCAGCGATCGACCTCAAGGACGCGTACTTTCATGTCTCGATTCTCCCTCGACACATACCGTTTCTCCGCTTTGCGTTCGAAGGGCGACCGTATCAGTACAAGGTCCTCCCCTTCGGGCTATCCCTGTCGCCTTGTGTCTTCACCAAGGTGGTGGAGGCAGCCCTCGTTCCATTGAGGGAAGCGAGCATTCGCGTTCTCAACTACCTCGACGACGGGCTCATATTGGCCCAGTCCCGAGCGCAGTGGTGCGAACACAGGGATATGGTGCTCAGTCACCTCAGCCGATTGGGGCTTTGGGGCAACTGGGACATCGTACCCAAGAAAGGCGGTGGGTTACGACCGATCCTGGACCTGCGCGTGCTGAACCGGGCCCTTCACAAGCTCCCATTCTGGATGTTGACGCAGAAACGCATCTTTCAATGCGTCCGTCCCTTCGATTGGTTCGCAGCGATCGACCTCAAGGACGCGTACTTTCATGTCTCGATGTTTAGTTAACACTCGAAGGTGATTGGGCTCTCGGGCGAGATCCCAATTCGTCAGTCACGACTGACGTAACGTCTCCGTTCCCTCCTTCAGGGAACGAGGATTACACAAGTAACCGAGACGTTTTTTCTACCTGATTTAATCCATAAAAATTTCTGTCGTTTGGTATAAATTCATGTATTTAGGTTTAGGTTCGATGTTACTATTTTTAAGTCTTCAGTCTTCTAATTTTATTTTGATAGCTATCAATAATTAAGACGCAAGATGGCTCTAGTTGCGTTTGTGTAAAACAAGAAAAGAAGGACATGAAAGTAGTGCTGGATTCAGTTTTCCCGATGTGCGGTACACCATTCGGAATTACCGTAAGTATTCCAGAGAGCCATGTATTAAAATATGCTAACATAATTTATTTAAAGAGGCCATACTCATAAAAACATAAAATATTCCTTTATCTTTTGCTTGGTTTAGAGGCTGTTATTGAATATATCATACCCAGCTTGTCCCCAACCGTGGTGGCTTCGGTCGGTTCTGATGGTTCACCAACACCGGCTGAGTTGCAGCAGCGAACGCGGAAGCGGTAAGACTTGCCCTCAGCCAGATCAAAAAGAGCAAAACGTGGAGATTTGACGGGGATTTCAGTGTTGACTCGCTGCCAGCTGTCTGTGCCAGACACACACTGCACACAAATATGCACATTTTTACTAAACCAATTACAAACAGTCTTCAACATACACTAAAGCTTTAATAAATATATAAATGCCACTGGCAGTGGTTATGAAGTTAAACGTGACCCTGGGGCACAAAACCAGTCTTAAGTCGCTGGGGTATATTTGTAGCAATATCCAACAATACATTGTATGGGTCAAAATTATAGATTTTTTCTTTAATGCCAAAAATCATTAGGATATTAAATAAAGATCATGTTCCATGAAGATATGTAGTAAGTTTCCTACTGTAAATATATCAAAACTTAATTTTTGATTAGTAATATGCATTGCTAAGAACTTCATTTGGACAACTTTAAAGACGATTTTCTCAATATTTAGATTTTTTTGCACCCTCAGATTCCAGATTTTCAAATAGTTGTATCTCAGCCAAATATTGTCCTATCCTAACAAACCACACATCAATGGAAAGCTTATTTATTCAGCTTTCATATGATGTATAAATCTCAATTTCGAAAAAATTGACCCTTATGACTGGTTTTGTGGTCCAGGGTCACAAATTCAGTTTTACTCTCTGACCTTCTCCACGTAATACATAACCCCTTCATGGCCCTTTTCGCCTGGAGGCTTCCAGCTCAACACCACATAGTTTTTAGTGGCCTCAATGACTGAGAGATCACAAGGTCTGCCGGGAACCACTCCCTCTACATGAAGTCAAGATAAAATGCAAAATGCACCATGTGATATTGGTACTGTAGGTTAACTGATTTTGAAAGAGAATTCAATGGACAAGGAAATGTCAAAAATACAGGTACAGTATTTGACCAATGCACTTTCCCATATGTTTGTGAAGCTGTATCAGGATTTTGAAAATTATTTAATAGAGATTCCCTGTGAAAGTTGAGTTAAACTCTGTAAGCCATAACAATGAGAAACTTCCTCATAATATTAACTTAACATCTCATAATAATGAGAAATGCTCTCTTAACAATGCCATAGTTTCTCATAAAATTGTGAAATTTTCAGGTGATGAGAAATTTTCTTGTTAAAATTAGAGTTTCTTGTTATAATGGCTAAACATCTCATAACAATGAGAAATGTCTCTTAATAATGAATTAGTTTCTCATCAATCATTATTATGAGAAAGTTTCTCATTACGAGATATTACAATAACAGTTTTTTATGAGAAATGTTCTTATTACAAGATACTAAGTCATTATGAGAAAGTTTCTCATAATACAATGTTAAGTCATCATAATAAGATTTATTTTCTATTTTTCTATTTTTTAACTTATGATAAAATGTCTCATTATTATGAGGAAGTTTCACATTATTATGAGATACTAAGTCATTATTATGAGAAAGTTTCTTATTATTATAAGAAGTCAGAGAAAGTTTCTTATAATGAAATGTTAAGTCATATGATTTTTTTTAAATATAACATTACGGCATTACAAGAAAGTATCATTATTATAAGATACTGAGTCATAATTACAGGAAAGTTTCTCATGAATATGATATGGAAAGTCATTATTTTGAGTAATTTTCTCTTTATTGAGATACTATGTCATTATGAAAACATTTCTTATTGTGAGAAAGTTTCTCACTAATGTAATGTTAAATCATAATAATGAGATTTATTTTCTTAATATTATAACGAACTCACAGTTCTCATTATTATGAGATATTAAGTCATTATGAGAAAGTTTCTCATTATAATGAGATGTTAAGTCATAATAAAGATATATATATTTTTAATATAACATTAACTCATAAATACAAGAAGGTTTATCAGTATTATGAGAAAGTCAGAATTACGGGAAAGTTTCTCATTATGATATAGAAAGTCATTATTACGAGACATTTTCTCTGTAATGAGACACTAAGCCCTTATTATGAGAAATATTCTCATTATTATGAGATAATAAGCCATATTAATGGGAAAGTTTCTATTATTATGGTACAGGAAGTCAATATGAGACATTTTCTCAATAAAATTAGTATAATCATAATTATTAAGTTTCTCTCTATTATGAATTACAGAATCATATGTTTAGCTGAACTATGGTGGTTTCTATAGTATTCTCTATATTTAAAGGTTTTTAATAACAGTGCAAACCCTAAAAAAAGATAATTTTTATGGATGCACGATATTGGATTTTTGCCGATATCCGATATTTTTCAACTAATTTTGGCCGATATCGATACCGATATATTTCCTTTTGTTTGGAAACAACACCAAGTCTCACCTGTGCAGAAATTATAAGCAAAATATTTTTAATTTTGGTTAGTTTTTAACAAGAACTTATTTGTTAGAATTAAATAAACAATAATGAAGGTTTTTTGACAGTACATTGAAGCTTTGAAAATAACTATAAATAAACTATATATCAATCACTGCCTTTTTTCCCCCAGAAAGATGCAAGGTCAACCCTAACATTTTATTTTAAGATTTAACATTTGTAGATGGTCTAAAGCAAAAGAGTTGTAAAAATTCTGAAAATCTTTTAGAGCTTGTGATTTGTTTAAAAAATAAAACATATTACACATTAATGAATAAATCAGTATATATAAAATTATTTAATTTACAAGTTTTTTATTTTTTTTTTCATGTAAGCTATAGCTTCTGATCTTTAAATCAAAACATACTCATGATTTTATGACATCAATTACTATTTTATTTAATCAGAAACAGTCTAAATGTTATTTGTTTAGGCTATTTTACTTTTAATTTAATTAGAAGTAGGCCAACAGCGCCCCCTAGGAATTAAAACTCGTTACTGAGCAGGCATTAGGACCCGCTGCACGTGCTATTACTGTTTACCCTATCACACACCAAACGCGTCATACGTGCTTTCACAGATTAAATGCAGCGATCCAAACAGTCAATCTAATCCTCATTCAGACAAAACTTTGCTTCAAGAATGAGCCACACTGCTAACCTGATCTAATCGCTAGCACACCCTGAGCACATGTGAGTTAACGCATTCCTCTTATCGGCAAGACATATCGGCATAATTTTCCATATCGGACCGATGCCGATATTTACATTTAAAGCCATTACCGGCTGATTCCGATATCAGTCCGATAATATCGTGCATCCCTAATCATTTTAATTTGAAATTTCTCACCCACAGGCTCCTCCTCAGTCACAATGATTTGTCCAGTCCAAGGAGCAGAGGGACCTACAGAACAACAGTATATTTTATTGCTTCCTTTGCTTTTAGTTTTTGTGTATTTGCTCTGTTGATCTTGTTGTACCTTTTCTTGTGCGGTCTGCAGGGTCCATAGCGGCTACTGGTTCAGACACACGGGATGGATGGCTCATGCCAGCCTTGTTCACCGCACGCACTCGAAACACATAGCTTCGTCCTTCCACGAGACCAGTTACAGGGAAGCGTGCAAACTTCACCGGAGTGTCATTGCATTGCGCCCAGTGTGTCATGCCAACTTCACACCTGCAGTGAGAAAAGGGAGGGAAATACATTTTAATGCACCAAGAATTACAATCTGATGTTCTACAGGGTTTCTGTTGGTTTTAAAAATGTCTTTAAAAAGTCTTAATTCTCCCTTCCACAAATTAAGGCCTTAAAAAGGTCTCAAGTCAAAGCAGAATGTCTTCATAGTCATGGCATTAAATGTTGCATGCAAAGCAAAAATAAAAAATAAAAATAGTATCTTCCTCAGTAGGTTGTCTTGTTTTCCAATACAAATATCTGAACATCTTTAAATGAAGATACATTTACTTTAGATGCAAAATGAAGATATGAAGTCTTGTTTTCTGAGAAATTGAACAAAATGAAGTCAGTTAATGCTTAAAACAAGAACAAATATCTGTCAATGGGATATGAATCTAGCATGAAATCTCCCTTTGAATTAAGTTGATTTTTCTGAGCCCACTTGCAGATATTTGTTCTTTTTCAAACATAAACTCACTTCATTTTAATCAGTTTCTCAGAAAATAAGACTTCTTCCCCCGGTTTCACAGACAAGGCTTAAACCTAGTACTAGACTAAAATGTAAGTCTGAGCTGTTTCAACTGAAAGAAACTTGCACTGACTGATCTTAAAATATATCAGTGCCTTTGTTTTGTCTCAAGATGTACACCAGTAATGTTTTTTTTCTAAGCACTTTCATAAAAATTGCTTAAATGTCCTAATTGAACTTTGATCTAATCCTGGCTTACTTTAAGCCCCGTCTGTGAAACCGGGCCCTTAAGTCATTTTGTTTTGTATCTTGATTTAAGAATCTTTAGAGGTTTGCACTGGAAAACAAGACACTTTTTGCAGTTTGATCAAAAGGTATAGTAAAAAATAATTCCATATTCTAGCTAAGCTACTTTCAATAACCATCGACAACTAGATTCTAAAGAAAACCAGCTGATGTTATATACAGTAAACTGCGTTATGCTGGTTTCAGCTGGATTTTCCGGTGATATGAGATTTAGTGTTTGTTTCTGGCCTATATGATGTTTATTTACATTACGTCCCCTTGGAATTATAAGGTTCTATCTGGCATTTTTGTCAAAATTGAGTTATTCACATATCCTTATTCTGTGACAACTTATTTACACTATGTGATAGATTTTTTAATGTTGTGTACATTTTGGGACTTTTTATTTATTTATTTATATCTACACAGTCGAATGGAATGCAAAAACTTTGAAGCTCAATATCTCAGAACTACTTGGAATGCAGATAGAACCTTATAATTCCAAGGGGACGATTATACATTAGAAATCTATATGGATAACATCTTCATTAGAGCTTTTTATTTGATCTTGTGTGTTGTTTGTATACAGATGCAGTGACCTGTCAACAAAATATCCCAAAATGGGGCTTCCTCCATCCACAGCAGGCTGCTTCCAGGTAACGATGACATAATCTTTATTAGCATCCAGACTATGAACATCTAAAGGTGCACCAGGAGCTCCAGCAACCTCTGCATCAGCATCTAACAAACACACAAATGAAATAAAGTCTGAATGAATCATTTAAGCAATTGCAATTAGTTTACATCAAGCAACTGCATGCTATCCCTTGTGAAAATGTAGTGCACTTATTTGTATTAAATGTGCACTTGTAGTTTAATTCAAATCTTAAAAGCATATTTTTATAAAACTGTACTTGCAGATAATGTTAATGAAATAAAAGGCCACTTAAGTGACTTAAAGAAAGACACTTTCATGGCTGTTTCTTTACACACTTAAGTACATTTTTAAAAAGTGCACTTTGTAATAATGTCAAATTAAGTTTTACTGTTTAAATTATGTTTTAATAATATTTTGTTGTGCTTTAAAGGAGCACACTTATTTTGATGTGTAGACTAACATACATACAAAGTATATTTTAATTACCATATAAGCTTGAACCTGCTTTTACACATTAACTATATTTCAAAGAAGTTATTATTAAAATTACATATAAGTCCTACTTAAGTGGATCATAAAAGCACTTAAAAGTTCAGCTAACTGAACAATGAATATATATATATATATATATATATATATAATGTAAGTGCAAACTGAATGTAATGTTTTCAGACATTTAACCGCAAAAGTTAATTACAATTAAATGATCATTTGTAGTAAATGCAGTTAGCTGAACTTTTAAGTGCTTTTATGATCCACTTAAGTAGGACTTATATGTAATTTTAATAATAACTTCTTTGAAATATAGTTAATGTGTAAAAGCAGGTTCAAGCTTATATGGTAATTAAAATATACTTTGTATGTATGTTAGTCTACACATCAAAATAAGTGTGCTCCTTTAAAGCACAACAAAATATTATTAAAACATAATTTAAACAGTAAAACTTAATTTGACATTATTACAAAGTGCACTTTTTAAAACTTTTTAAAACTGTAAAAAAAAAAAAGATTTTTCAAAGTTGCATATAAAGATTATTGGAGTGTGTTCACTATATCAGGTTTCTACTTAAAAATTTTGCATTTAATTATTTGTAATTGTTCGTGAAAACTTTCTGCACCAGTTTTTTTTGTTTACGTGTATAGCAAGTGTATAATTAAGTACTCTTTTTAAAAGTATGCTAAAGTGTACTTCTTTTTCACAAAGCATGGTACAGTGTTGTTGATTAAAATCTAAATGCAAATGAAGTTTTATAAAGTGTATTATTGCAGTATTTTAACTAGGGGAGTGTTGAGAACTTCATTCGTCGAGGCTCCTTCATCTGAATGTCATGACGGCACAGACACGGCATGATAAATTTAGAAAGAAACATGAGCTGGCAAGGGAGGCTTACAGAGACATGCAAATCTCACACACTGTACAAGCCAAAAGAGTGTGTCACAATATTGCCAGCATGAATATTTTGGCCTGTAATAATGCAGCAGGCTCAATTAGAAATAGCTGAGTGTATTGGTCCTCACCTCTGACAAAGACATACGCTGAATGTGTCTCAAAGCCAGATTTGGTGATGACGCGAAGTGTGTAGAGTCCTTCGTCCTCCTTGTTGAGGTGTGAGAGAGTGAGTGTCGCTCTGTCGCCGCTCCAGTGCATCTGAACCCATTTTGATGGCACCAGCAGTTTATCTAAAACACACACAAATACATCCATGCATTATGCGTCACTAGGCAGAAAATACATTTTAGTATATAAAGGAAAATATACAGTCAAAAGTTTTTTATGTTTCTGAATGACATAAAAGTTTTATTTGAATTTTTTTTATATAAAAATATTTAATTTTTTAAATATAAAAATTTCCAATTTGTATATACTCACCAAGACCAAAAATACAGTAAAAACAGTAAAATTATGAAATATTATTACAATTTAAAAAAACTATGTTCTATGTGAATATTTTGTAAAATGTAATTGATTTCTGTGATCAAAGCTGAATTTTCAGCATCATTACTCCAGTCTTCAGTCACATGATCTTCAGAAATCATTCTTATATGCTGATTTGCTGCTCAAGAAACATTTCTAAATTATTATCAATGTTGAAAACAGCTGTGCTGCTTAATATTGTTGTGGAAACCGTGCTGCACTACCATGTAAAATAAAAAAATTATACTTTTATTCATCAAAGATGCATTAAATTGATCAAAAGTGCCAATAAAGACCTTTATAATGTTCTAAAAGATTTATATTTCAAATATCTTTTAAATCTTTTGAACATTCTATTAATCAAAGAATCCCGAAAAATAAAATGTTTCACAGTTTCCACAGAAATATGAAGTGGCACAACTGTTTTCAACATTGGTAATAATCAGAACCATTATTAAAAAAAAGAGTACCAATAGTAACTGATAATAATCGAGCAGCAAATCAGCATATTAGAATGATTTCTGAAGATCATGTGACACTGAAGACTGGAGTAATGATGCTGAAAATACAGCTTTGATCACAGGAATACATTACATTTTACAATATATTCACATAGAAAACAGATATTTTAAATTGTAATAGTATTTCACAATATTACTGTTTTACTGTATTCTTTTTCAAAGAAATGTAGCTTTGGTGAACATAAGAGCTTTCTTTCAAAAACATTAAAAAATCGTAAATATTCCAAACTTTTGACTGGTAATGTATACACCAATTTGCAAGAAGTAAAGATTAAATATGCATTGTAAATTGATATCAGGATTGGCCAATATTAGCAATAATATCTGGGGCCAGATTTACTAAACAGGGCAAATTAGCGTTAGAGCGCAATTCCATAAAAGCACTGATGGGAAAATTCTGCGTGTGATTTACTTACAATACGCACAGAATAAAGAACACAGACGCAACCAAATCATTTCCATAATGACCAGCGCAATCTACCAAGAGCTGCGCAAATTAGTGTCGGCTTTAAGACATGCTTTTTTTTGGCCGTTAAATAATGGCACAAATATCAGTAATTTGATGAGTGCTCAATTTTGCGAGAGACGCTATCAGAAATCACAGTCTTACCATCTCTGTACCACTCTATCTCAGGCTGGAAGCGCTGCAGTGACGGGTAGATGATAACAGAGCAGCCAAAACTCAGCGTCTCACCCTCACGTCCAAAAGACACACCAAACTTCTCCACGAGGTGCGTCTCGAATGTCACTCCATACTCCAGACAAGGTGCTGCAGTGCACACACACATTAAATTCAGCTTTATTTTATGAAAATGCAGAAGACTCCAGGATTCACCTTGTGGAAAATGATGCATACATATGCGCACGTATATATAATGAAACACATACAGTTCATGTACAATGAAAGTACAATGAAACTTTTCACATGAACATCATCAAGAATTGAAAGGAGACTGACAGCAGGCATCATTAAGGTGGAAAACAAATTCATAAAAAACACAATAAGATAACAAAAGCGCGGTGAATGCTAGTGACTATAGGAAGACATTTGCATTGACAATGCTGAGACAAACAAAGAATAGAAAACAGAGACACTTCCATGAAGATGAATACAAATACACACACAGAAACTGGAAATGGAAATAATAAAGACAAGATATTTATGCAAGAAATCTAATGTCCTCAGTATGGAAGCTGGTTTCCACATCGTTTCGCCCATGTTTCGCAATTCTGAGATGAGAAGTCATAATTGCGAGATATAAACTCGTAATTGCGAGAATTGCCCAAAAATTAGAATTCTGAATAAAAAATAAAAAAAAAGTCGGAATTGCGACATAGAAAAATGTGAATTCTGAGTAAAAAAAAAAAGTCGGAATTGCGACAGAAATTTTTTTAATTCTGAGTAATTCCTAATAAAAAAAAAAAGTTGGAATTGCGACAGAAAAATTTGAATTCTGAGTAAAAAAAAAGTCGGAATTGCGACAGAAAAATGTGAATTCTGAGTAAAAAAAAAAAGTCGGAATTGCGACAGAAATTTTTTTAATTCTGAGTAAAAAAAAAAAGTTGGAATTGCGACAGAAAAATTTGAATTCTGAGTAAAAAAAAAGTCGGAATTGCGACAGAAAAATGTGAATTCTGAGTAAAAAAAAAAAGTCGGAATTGCGACAGAAAAATGTGAATTTTGAGTAAAAAAAAAAAGTCGGAATTGCGACAAATATTTGAATTCTGAGTAAAAAAAAAAAGTCGGAATTGCGACAGAAAAATGTGAATTTTGAGTAAAAAAAAAAAGTCGGAATTGCGACAAATATTTGAATTCTGAGTAAAAAAAAAAAGTCGGAATTGCGACAGAAAAATGTGAATTCTGAGTAAAAAAAAAAAGTTGGAATTGCGACAGAAAAATGTGAATTCTGAGTAAAAAAAAAAAAGTCAGAATTGTGACAAATATTTGAATTCTGAGTAAAAAAAAAAAGTCAGAATTACGACAGAAAATTTTTAATTCTGAGTAAAAAAAAAGTCGGAATTGCAAGAAAAAATTTCAGAATTGTGCGATGTAAAATATATATTCAAGTAGAAAACAAATAGATAATTTTTGAAAACAAATAGATAACTTTTTTTTACTGTATTCTTTATCAAATAAATGTAGCCTTGGTGAGATGAACAGTTGAAATGGCAAGATATAAACTCGCAATTGCAAGAAAAATGTCAGAATTGCGATATGTAAAATCAGAATTTAAAGAAAAGTCAAAATTTTAAGAAAACTCAGAATTGTGAGAAAAATGTCAGAATTCTGAGTTTATATCTTGCCATTCTGACTTCTTTCTTCTCAGAATTGTGAGATAAAAAGTCTTAATTACCTTTTTATTCATTTATTTATCCCATGGTGGAAACGAGCTTCCATACGAGCCTTGTCTAGTCTGAAATATTTTTTACATTTTTAAAGGAATATGAAGGAATATTAAAGGAATATTCCAGGTTACATATAACAAACAAAAATAAAAACGTTTACAGTAATGCACTTTACAATGGAAGTTTAAGGGTCCAGTTGCCTCTAGATTTACATTGCAAGTGCATTACAGTAAACATGCTTTTGTTTGTTTTTTGTTATGAGAAGTGATGGAATTATTTTCTGTGATACTTCGTTAGATTTTTTCAACAGTTCTTTTTTATTCTTCAAACTGACTCTATCAAGTAATGTAATACTGGCCTTATTGTAAAGCTTAAATGTTGAACGATTGAATGTTTAATTTTTCAAGACAAACATGCAATATTGGAATAATAGCAATTCCATATTTAAAAATGGATACTAATCCAGCACATTGCATGTAACTTATCAAAGCAATCCTGAATGTTATCTATATTAGACACATTCATCAAGATAGAGGAGTAAAACAATGAGAAGAGACGATCATGCATATAAGATGATCAGGGAAACCAGACGAGACTGAAACATTAAAAGAGCATTATAGAAAAACCTTCACCAAGGTTACCTTTGAAGCCGAACTTTCTGCTTTCTGCACCAGCGAATCGGAAACAAAATAGCCATTAGCCAGCTTACATGAAAAACTTTAGCCTCATGCTCACAGCTTCACACACTTCAGCAAAGCACATATACAGAAATTGTGAAAGAGAGCAATTAAGTACCAGGTTTTATACTGAAATACTTACGGAGTCTGGGAGATGGCAGAAACTCATCAATTTCTCCTTTGAATCCTAAATGTCATATCACACAAAACGACAAGAGTTTTCATGTTTTATCAGATAATTGGACAATGTTTTCCTTATGATCCCCTTATGACCCCTTTTGAAACACTTAGCAAGTGACCTTCCATAACAGAAACTACGCATTTTCTTGAACTATTCCTTCTAATGAAACTGTAAGCAGAATTTGAATTACTCACTATTCATATATTTCACTCACATGACTTTTTCCACTGATCTGCCATATTTATGACAATCAGTGGGACATAAGTAATGACAATGAATACAAAAAAACATGAATGTAGATGCCAAATAAAAGTGTTAACCATTGGATTTGATCCATACCAGGTCATTTTTACACATTTCAAGTTAAAAAATCTTTAAAACCCATCTTAATAAAACAGATGAATAGGACAATAAATACATACCAAAATACATTTTGTATTGAGTAGTAAGTAAATTGATGTATTGGTACTTTTAATAGACTACAATTCAGGACTTCTTTGTGAAAGCTGTACATTATGGGTCAAAAGTCTAGAATAATTAAAAAATGTTTAATATTGATGAAGCCTCTTCTGCTCACCAAGGCTGCATTTGTTTGGTCAAAAACATTATTCATACATTATTATGATCATTCAGAAATCATTCTAATATGCTGATTTGCTCAATTATTATTAATTATTATTTGATATTAATAGTGGTTCTTATTATTATCAGTGTTGAAACTAATATATTATAACTGTCTTTACTGTCACCTTTGATAAATTTATTGTGTTCTTGCTGAATAAAAGTTTTTTTTTTTTAAAGAAAATCTCACTTACCCCAAACTTTTGAATGGTAGTGTATTACAGTTTCCACAAAAATATTCAACTGCACAAATGTTTTCAACATTGATAATAATCAGAAATGTTTTTTGAGCAGCAAATCAGCATATTCGAATGATTTCTGAAGATCATGTGACACTGAAGATTGGAGTAATGATGCTGAAAATTCAGTTTTGATCACAGGAATAAATTACATTTTATTAGATATTCACATAGAAAACAGTTCTTTTAAATTGCAGTATTTCACACTGTTTTCACTGTATTTTGATCAAATAAATGCAGCCTTGGTGAGCAGAAGAGACTTGATCAAAAACATTAAAAAATCTTAATTATTCCAGACTATTTGACCATTAGTGTCGTCGCTATTACGGCTGTTTAGTGTTTCTCATTAGGAAGATTTTAGGATGATTTATTTCAGACCTACTTTTGACGACAACAGAAGCAAAAGCAGAGGTCTCGCCCTTGCTGTTCATGGCCGACACACGATACTGTGCAGTGTCATCGAAGTCACACCTGGAATTACAGACAGACATGTTACACACCTGACCACTGCAAATCACTCTATCTGCTTTAAGAGGATGAAGTCCATGTGCGCTCACTTGTTAATCTCCAGGGAGTGGACGCTGTAGCTGCTCTCCACTTTGTACTTCTCTGGCGTGGCCATCGGATCAATGCTAACATTGTTCTTGTACCTAAGAGAGAAGAACGAATTTAAATACTTTGGAATAATGTAGTGCATCAGAGCTTTTTGACTGAAAAGGCCAAGTTTACCCTCCACAGCATCTCAATCCAAATACAAATGCACTAAAAAAAAACTGCTACTGAAATCATTTTCACTCAGAAATTGCTAGTGCATTTCACAAATATAACAAAGAAATGGCAGGTAAAAATGCTGCATTGTGCATGTTAGGCCAGTAGTTGGCGATGTTACTTTGTAAAGAACACGCAATACTGTATGTATGCGCATGACGTCACTATTTCACGAATTTGGGTATTTTCACATGGAGATGATAACGGTATCATTTTCAAAAACTTGTACTTTGAAACCTGTTTTCAAAAGTTTTCTAAAATGCCTTTATCATGTAAACGAACTGCCAAAACGCATTAAAATGTTTCAGTTTTTAGTCGAAAACGGTGTTGTGTACACGTCCCCTGAATGGAGGCAATTTTGATTTCAAAATAATTTTCTTACTCGAAATAAAATAAAGTTTAACTGACATAAAATATAAAAAACTCAAATTTATTTTATTTTAGCGGAGCTGCACGAGCCTATGGTGACGAAGCCCGCCAGAGCCTGCCAGAATGGGTGGGGCCAACTGGCTATATAAGCAGACATTTTGCCATAGGATCTCAAGTTACTTCGACTGAAGCGACGACTGAGTCGTGCAGCTATATAGCACGGCCAGTAACGCAATACTCGTTCCTGTATCTCAGGTAACTTCTCGGTAACGTACATAACCCTCGTTCCCAGATGGAGGGAATGGAGACGTTATGTCGTGACGACTTTAGGGGTCTTACTTGGGAGCCCGAATCCTCTCTGATTAATAGAAAACACCAATGAAATTTGGCTAGTGGATTTCAACTGCACAAATGTTTTCAACATTGATAATAATCAGAAATGTTTTTTGAGCAGCAAATCAGCATATTCGAATGATTTCTGAAGATCATGTGACACTGAAGATTGGAGTAATGATGCTGAAAATTCAGTTTTGATCACAGGAATAAATTACATTTTATTAGATATTCACATAGAAAACAGTTCTTTTAAATTGCAGTATTTCACACTGTTTTCACTGTATTTTGATCAAATAAATGCAGCCTTGGTGAGCAGAAGAGACTTGATCAAAAACATTAAAAAATCTTAATTATTCCAGACTATTTGACCATTAGTGTCGTCGCTATTACGGCTGTTTAGTGTTTCTCATTAGGAAGATTTTAGGATGATTTATTTCAGACCTACTTTTGACGACAACAGAAGCAAAAGCAGAGGTCTCGCCCTTGCTGTTCATGGCCGACACACGATACTGTGCAGTGTCATCGAAGTCACACCTGGAATTACAGACAGACATGTTACACACCTGACCACTGCAAATCACTCTATCTGCTTTAAGAGGATGAAGTCCATGTGCGCTCACTTGTTAATCTCCAGGGAGTGGACGCTGTAGCTGCTCTCCACTTTGTACTTCTCTGGCGTGGCCATCGGATCAATGCTAACATTGTTCTTGTACCTAAGAGAGAAGAACGAATTTAAATACTTTGGAATAATGTAGTGCATCAGAGCTTTTTGACTGAAAAGGCCAAGTTTACCCTCCACAGCATCTCAATCCAAATACAAATGCACTAAAAAAAAACTGCTACTGAAATCATTTTCACTCAGAAATTGCTAGTGCATTTCACAAATATAACAAAGAAATGGCAGGTAAAAATGCTGCATTGTGCATGTTAGGCCAGTAGTTGGCGATGTTACTTTGTAAAGAACACGCAATACTGTATGTATGCGCATGACGTCACTATTTCACGAATTTGGGTATTTTCACATGGAGATGATAACGGTATCATTTTCAAAAACTTGTACTTTGAAACCTGTTTTCAAAAGTTTTCTAAAATGCCTTTATCATGTAAACGAACTGCCAAAACGCATTAAAATGTTTCAGTTTTTAGTCGAAAACGGTGTTGTGTACACGTCCCCTGAATGGAGGCAATTTTGATTTCAAAATAATTTTCTTACTCGAAATAAAATAAAGTTTAACTGACATAAAATATAAAAAACTCAAATTTATTTTATTTTAGCGGAGCTGCACGAGCCTATGGTGACGAAGCCCGCCAGAGCCTGCCAGAATGGGTGGGGCCAACTGGCTATATAAGCAGACATTTTGCCATAGGATCTCAAGTTACTTCGACTGAAGCGACGACTGAGTCGTGCAGCTATATAGCACGGCCAGTAACGCAATACTCGTTCCTGTATCTCAGGTAACTTCTCGGTAACGTACATAACCCTCGTTCCCAGATGGAGGGAATGGAGACGTTATGTCGTGACGACTTTAGGGGTCTTACTTGGGAGCCCGAATCCTCTCTGATTAATAGAAAACACCAATGAAATTTGGCTAGTGGATTTTGCATGCTGAGCCCCACTCCCCGTGCACACGGGTATAAATAGACGACAGGTGCATCAACTCATCAGGTTTTATGCTGAGGAGCCGAGAATTTGTCCCTGGTAACCAGCGATGGTTCAAGGTTGTGGCATGGGGACAGCAGTCGGTCACTTCGAGTTATGTCATGACGACATTAGGGGTCCATGGAAAGCGCCCCAACCTGAACCCCGTCACAACCCTATGGCATTACAAATGTTGACAAGCAACCGCGTGTCAGACAAATGCTATGCAAAGGTCGTAACCTTCCCGGGCAAGCTAACACCAATACTGGGCCTGGCGTCAGACTGCCCCACCCAGCCAGGACTCAACCAGGATTTGCCGTCCGGGGAACTGTGCTGGAGGAGGAAAGAGGCGCTCACATCCCCGGGTGAGGGGGAATGGCGCTGCGAGAGCTGAACTCGTCCTACATGGCTTAGATGGGTGAGCGGCCTTTGCCTTCCAGCCGATGGCCGTGGGCAGGCAGAGATGCGTGGCCACTGACTCATCATAGGGAGGCAGTCTGTCGTACCCTTTTTCTTCGGCTCCGTCGACCGACGTGAGGTCGGATGAAGTGGAGGCACGTAGGCGGGCCGAGTAGGGGGCGCGCCACGATCTGGTCAGCTCTTCATGGACCTCAGGAAAGAATGGTAAAGCCCGTTGTCGAGGGGCCTGACAGCGCCCCGGCAAGAACCACTCATCCAGGCAGCTACGGGTGGGCTCCTCCGGCGGAGACCACTCTAAACCCAGCTCCTCCACAGCTTTAGACAGGACGCGGAAAAGTTTGGCGTCCATGCCCATGCTGGACTCTGCAGACGGCAGGGAGGCAGGGTCGTAGGATGAGCCCGGCAGCTCCTCCACGTCAGAAGCAGCCAAGGACATGCTGTCGATCATGGCGTCACACTCGCTCCCACCGAACGAGACCAGATCGCTCGCAGCCGCAGAGGGACGCTGGTCTGGGCGGGAGAAGAGGACGGGAGAAACCTCTCTGTGTGGTGAGAGTGAGGCACGCGGGAACTCAGCCGGTGTGGGCTCACTCGTCACTGAGCGCTGAGATCCTCTGCCCCGCTGCTTTTTCCTCACAGGCTCCTGGGAGGAAGAAAGCGGGAGGGCGCGAGGGGCGGAGTCGCTTTCCGCGAAGAAAGCTATCCGCGAGTGCAGAGAGCCTAACCCATATCCTCGCAATGAGGACATTCCGTCTCAATGAGTGCAGCTTCAGCATGGACACTTCCCAAGCATGAAACGCACTCGCCGTGACCGTCAGCGGCATGCAGGGTGCCCTGCATGAGCAACAGTAATGGCACGGCATTTGCAACAACGCCGCACAGAGATTCGCGCTTAGAAATTTGCTCTAATAGGATTCGCCGGGTGGCGGCAGGGGACCAGAAGAGACCGTGACTGCTGCAGGAGCTGAAAGCGGCTGGGGAGTGGCGAGTCAGACGAGCAGAGAGGTCTTGATCCGCTGCTGGGCTCTTCCACGGCGAAGGGCTTCGAGTCTCATAGAGCAAAGATCTTGAAGTCGTCACTGAAGAAGAAGAAATCTGAGATCCTATGGCGAAATGCCCGCTTATATAGCCAGATGGCCCCGCCCATTCTGGCGGGCTCTGGTGAGCTTCGTCGCTATAGGCTCATGCAGCTCTGCTGCCGAGCCATTGGTTCGTTTTTAATTTACTGCACGAACCAATGGCTGTGCAGTTACACTGCATTATTGAAAAGGCTTCAGTCATCAGAGAGAAAGGAGTTTTCCCCATAGTGTCTTAGCAGACGCAGTACAAGTGAAGTATCGATAGGGATCTCAATCATACTAAAATAACACTGCTTATCACATTATAATCTTTACGTAATGCTAGCATCATTAGTCGTATACTGTACATCTCTAAGCATGTGTGTTTGTGTACACATGTGCATGTGTTGTGTAAGTATGTGCATGTGTGTTTGTGTGTGTGAACTCACCACACAACGCGTGGTTCAGGCCATCCTGAGATGGTACAGTGCAGTCGCACACACTGTTTCTCCCAAACAGTGTGGGATCGTGGCTTGATCACAAACTCCGGTATGTGCATCAGGCTGTCCTCGTTCAGACGCTTATGGTACTCTTCGTTCTCATAGATCTGAGGACATGCAGCCATTCATATAGTGTTCAGAAAGTGGCAACATTCTTTGGTCATAAATGCATTATGAACATGCAGGGAAAAAAAAGTGATGCATTTATGAGCAAACACAATTACTATGTCAAGATACAAACTGCATCAGAAGATTTTGACTAATCCCTTGATTTGTAAAAACAAAAACAAAAACAAAAAACAGTATACAGTAATTCACTTACAATGGAAATCTAAAAGGCAAGGCATTGCAATTAAATTAATATTAAAATATACTGTTCTAAAAAATATACTGTTCTAAAAATATAACCACAAGAATCAAACATCATACATGTTACTAACCTTGTTCATGCAAAGTTAAAAATTTCAGCTCCTCTCATAAATATCCCTTGTGAAAAAGAAGTGCACTTTATCATTACTTTAAAAAAAAAGAGCATTTATTATAGAAATAATATACTTGAAAAGAATATACTTAAGTGTGAACTGAATGTAATTTTTTTGGACACTTAATTGCATGTTAATTGTTTAACATCTAACATTTAATTGTCTATTAATTATAGGTTAAATTTATATTAAATGCAGTTAGCTGAAATTTAGAGTGTTTTTAACTCACTTAAGTAGAACTTAAGTGTACATTTTTTATGAAATTTGATTTATAAGTAACTACTTCTATTGTCTTTGAAATAAGGTTAAAGTACTGATGAATGTACTGACAAACATTTATGGTAAACTAAAATATTAATGTAATTTCTATTGAAACTTCTATGTCATGTATTTAAATACATTTGCAATTATACATTTGTAATGATTCATTTGCAGTTTAGTACATTTAAATATATTAACTTTAAATGTAATATTAAATAATACACTACATTTAAAATTATAATTATAATCAAGTACTTTACATGGGCTTTAGTCAACACATTAAAATAAGTGACTTTTGTTAGTCAACACATCAAAATAAGTGTACTTAATTTTGGAAACATTTAATTTTACATTATTACAAAGTGCACTTTTTAAAAGTGTACTTAAGTGTGTTAAAAACAGTGATGAAAGTGTCTCTTTAAGTCACTAAGTTGACCTTTATTTCATTAATATTATCTGCAGTTAGTTTTTTATATAATTAAATATTTATATACCTATATATTTTTATATACAATTAAGTGCACTTCTTTTTGACAAAGAATGTTATGGTGACTTACCAAAAGATGATTGTTTACAAAGAGAAAATCCACCCAGAGCAATTACAGTAATGCATGGTAAACATGAATGTGATTCTTCCATTTGCATCTTCTATTTATAACAGATTCACAAAATATTTGCACGAAATGTATTAAGCATTTATAATGTGTCCATTGAGACTCAGGCTGTTCAACAGAATCATTGGTTTTATTTGTCCAGTCGTGTCAGTGTAAATATAATCTCCTTGAGGATTCCCTCAGCGATGATCAGCACATCACTTGTCGACAACAGTAGTTTCATAGTCGCTTTAACACACACCACAGATTAACACACCACACAACCACATAAAACATTACAACCCTTGAAATCCAGCACCACGATGGCACGGTTTGTTGGCCCCAGGATCAGAACTAAATAAAGTTTGTGTCGTGATACTTTCTGCTCTTTTTCTATCTAAAAATAGGGAACATACAGTATGCATGAGTTTAATAGTGTTCCTCAAAGCCTCCAATCAAAGCAAACTCAAATGCATCTTCTGTTGCACAATTAGTTCAAACAATAAAATTCCCATCTTCAAATAGTAAATTACTTGAAACAATAAAACTCATTTGTTAATTGAGTGTGTATTTTTACCTTTGTGTTTAGTAACATGGGCTGGTAGCACTTTATTTTAAGGTATCCTTGTTACACATGTACATGTACTTACTATTGTAATAACAATAAATTATGCAAGTAACCCTAAAACAAACCCTAACCCTAATCTTAACACTAACCATATAGTAAGTACATGTAGTTAATTAATATTACTCAGTACTGTATAATTACACAGTAGCAAGGGCACCTTAAAATAAAGTGTAACCCATGGGCTAAATCAGTTTGCAAATGTATGAGTTTTTTTTTAAATAAAAGCTTAAATCATAAAATGTTACTGCACTACTAAAAATAATCTACAATTTCTGAATAAAATGAATGTCTATTTACATCTAAATGGGATGTTTTTGACTGTTTTGTTATCCATCAGATGTACAATTTGAGTTACCATTGGAGTCAATTGAGTTATACGCTGAAGATTAATACACAGGGTTAGGAGATTGTTCAAATAGTGATGCTTTTCTACCCTTGTGAAAAAGAAGTGCACTTAATTGTACTGAATGCGCACTTGTACTGTGCTTCAAATCTTAAAAGAATATTTTTTTAGAAAATTGTATTTGCAGATAATATAATATTAATGAAATGAAACTCTTAAGTGAATTAAGAGACACTTTCATGACTGTTTCTGAACACACTTAAGTACTCGTTTAAAAAGTGACTAATAATGTCAAATTAAAAATTGTACTTTAAAGTATATTTTAAATCTTTGTTTGAATCTTTTGTTCTGCTTTAAAGAAGTACACTTATTTTGATGTGTTGACTAATGTACTAAAGCACATGTCAAGTACTTGATTACAATTTTAACTGTAGTGTGTTATTTGATATTACATTTAAAGTTAAAATCTTTTAAATATAATACATTGCAGCTTTATCATTATAAATGTGTAAATACAAATATATTTAAATATGACATACAAGTTTCAACAGAAATTACATTAAAGTATAATTTAGTTACCATAAAAGCTTGTTAATAAAAGACGTACTTAAGTCCTATGTAAATGGGTCAAAAAGCACTCTAGCATTCAACTATTTCTATTAAATATGCTCTTAAACTTAAAATCAAATCAAAATCAAAGTTAAATTTACAAAAATTATAATTTAATTGCAAATAAAATGCAGCTAATTGTAGGAAAGTATTTAATTCAGTTCGCACTTAAGTATATTCTTTCATAGTATATTATTTACATAGTAAGTACTCTTTTTAAAAGTATGTGCTTCTTTTTCACAAGTGTAATAAAGCAAAAGAGCACTCAGAGCCGTATTGCAGCTCAGTCCAACAGTTTGTAGTTGTTATAATGTAAATTTAAGTGAGAAGTGTTACTTGACAAATAGCCATTCATTAAGAACTGTTATGAAGAGAAATGTATATTTAATCTCTAACCACAACAGCAGTAGTGAGTTATGTGTTTAGGAACAGGACTAGGATCTCCACTGACCCTCTTGCTAAGCGAGATGCGCTCTGCTGACTCCCTCATGACGGTTCTGTGGGACTTGTGTTCGATGTGCTCCGACTCCACGCCACTAGCGAAGAGGTCACGACGTGCCAGATAGCCAGCGCTCTCTTTAGCGCGTGCTTCCTCAGTGTCTGATAGGCCGCTTTGAAACTCATGACTGAGGGGGGAATTATGTAGCATCACATTCACACGTCTCTCGAATTAAACAAAGCAGTGCAGCACAATACAACATATATTTCGTCACATTATATATACACAATGGTTATGAAAACAAAACAAAACAGAAAGCCACGTCACATCTGTGTTCTTTAAGAGAACTCCAACACCTTGCTATGGCAACCTCACATCCACCCTTAAAGGGAGGGTTTACCAAAAATGAAAGTTCTGTCATCATTTACTCATCCTCAAACACAAAAGGAGATATTTTGAAGAATTTTGGTAACCAAACAGTTGTATTTTTTCACAGTATGGAAAAAATACTATGGAAGTCATTGGCTACCGTCAAATATTTGGTCACCAACATTCTTCAAAATATCTTCTTTTGTGTTCAGCAGAAGAAAGAAACTCATACAGGTTTTGAACAACTTGAGGGTGAGTAAATTATGACAGAATTGTCATTTTTTGGGTAAACTATCGCTTTATTGCAGCAAATTTTCTTACCAAAAGCCATTCTGGCTGTATAGTATTCCTGAGTGAGCTCAAAGTTTCTTTACAGATTAAAAGGGCTCTCAATGTTAAATTATAGTTCCCATCAAAGGTTTTCCCTTGTGAAAAGAAGTGTGCTTAATTGTACAAAATGTGCACTTCAGATCTTAAAAGTATGTTTTTTTTTTAAATAGGTACTTGCAGATAACATAATATTAATGAAATAACAGGGCACTTAAGTTTTATCTTAAAGTATTTTACATCATGTTTTAATAATCTTTTGTTGTTTTTTAAAGTACACTTATTTCGATGTGTTAACTAACATACTAAATCACATGTAAGAATTTATGTTTCTTAACACACTTAAGTAGACTTTTAACAAGTGCACTTTGTAATAATGCCAAATTAAAAGTTTTACTTTAAAGGACATTTTTAATGTTTTAATACTCTTTTCTTGTGCTTTAAAAAAGTACACTTATTTTGATGTGTTGACTAACATACTAAAGCACATGTAAAATACTTGATTATAATTTTAAGAGTAGTTCATTGTTCGATATTACATTTAAAATTAATATCTTGTATCAAATCGCATATTTATCATTACAAATGTGTAATGACACATATTTAAATATATGACTTACAAGTTTAAATTGAAATGACATTAAAGTGTATTTTAGTTCAGCATAAATACACTTTAATCATATTTTAAAGACATTCTAATTAATTATTACATATAAAAAATGTACTTAAGTCCTATACTTAAGTGGGTCAAAAATCACTCAAGTTCAGTTAATTGCATTTAATATAAATTTAAAATATAATACATTTTCATTTAGTTGCAATTATTATGCAATTAAGTGTCCAAAAACATTAAATGCAGTTCACACTTAAGTATATTCTTTTAAAGAATATAATTTCAGTACTTTTTTAAAAGTATGCTAAAGTGTACTTCTTTTTCACAAGGGTTAAAGAACAATGCTAAATCATTTCTTCAATGGGATATGGCCATAAAGTCCTACAGTATGCGCAGCCTTTTTTAAAACTTTGTGCGTGTACGGCTATAAATAGCATATTATTGAAGTGCTTGATAATACCAAACACATGCTAACAATAGAAATCATGACGTATGGAGCAGCTGCATGTGTTTGTTCCAACACAAACAAATCCCAGATTGTTTCTTTACCTGCCCCTGAAGATGGGCACCACATAACCGATGATCTGGTTCTCCTTGTCCATGGCCATATAGGTTGGTTTGACTCTCTTGGGCAGAGGGCTCAGCCTGGGCTCATCTAGAGCCGTGTATGTGGCAGCTCTGATGCTGCAATGGTGCAGAAATTGCAACATACACACATGTGTGTGAGTATCCAGCACTTAGTTCACACGCTATTATGAGTTTTGGAAGGGGTGTGGAGTTGTGAAGAAAGGATGTTAGGTTGAAAAACGTCTAAGATTGAATAAGTTTAAGGGAGTGAGTGGGAAGGAGGTTAATCACCTCAGTGATCCTGAATTACAATAAACCACCAATAAAAGCTTCATCAATGGTCAAAAGTATAAAGTAGTAGAATCTACACCCTCCAATCTACACTTAGTATTATAAGTCTATGAACTTTCACATTGACTGTCTTTCAATTGAGGGATGCTTTTTAGTGGTCTAATCTCCAAGAAACATCTGAAGAATTCTTCTACTTTTGTACTCCCTACTAAACAATTCCACGTTAAACAGCATTTGTGGCCCATTTTACTTCAATAATGTGAAATATTCCAAGATACAGTTACAGGATATACAACCTTTGTGGAAAAGAAGTGCACTTAATTGTATTGGAAGTGCTCTTGTAGTGTCCTTCAAATCTTAAAAGTATATATTTTTTAAAAACTGTACTTGCAGATAATGTAAAATTAATGAAAAAAGTGACTTAAAGAGATACTCTTTTATGAGTTTGTTCATTAACATGCTTAAGTACACTCTGAAAAAGTGCACTTTGTAATAATGCCAAATTAAAAGTTGTACATTATTCACATTTTTGTTTTAATAACCTTTTGTGCTTTAAAGAAGTACACTTATTTTGATGTGTTGACTAAAATACTAAAGCACATGTAAAGTACTTAATTATAATTTTAACTGTAGTGTGTTATTTGATATTACTTTTAAGATTCATATATTTTAAATGTAATAAATTGCAACTTCATCATTACAAATGTGTAATTACACATAAATTTAAATACACAACATACAAGTTTCAATAGAAATGGCATTAAAGTATATTTTAGTTTATCATAAATGCTTGTCAGTACATTCAGCGGTACTTTAACCATATTTCAAAGACAATAGAATTATGAAGTTAAATATAAAGAAATATATAACGGTCAAAAAGCACTCTAAAGTTCAGCTAATTCCATTTAATATTCGAATTGCATTTGAATTTTAACTTTGATATATTTTAATTTGATTGGAATTAACATGTGTTTAAGTCTCCAAAAAACATTACATTCAGTTCACACTTAAGTATTTTCTTTTAAATTAAATAGAAAGGAAGATGTACTGGTAATTTTCTGCCAGGACATTATCCATTAATTTTATGGAAATTTCCGTTAACCTTAAAACACAATGCAATGAAGTAAAAAAAATCAAAATTTAAAATACAGTTAAAACACCTGTAAAAAAAAAAAATATATATATATATTTTTTTTTTTTTTTTTTTAATTATTATTTTTTTTTATTTTATTATTATTTTTTTTTTTATACATTTTTTTTTTCAGTGTATATTATTTCCTTAGTAAGTGCTGTTTTCACAAGTATGCTAGAGTGTACTTGTTTTTCTCAAGGGTTAATAGATATTCAAAATGATATTCAATGTGAAAATGAACTTAGGGCAGAACTTAACTTTTTTTGTTAAAAAGTGGTCTCAGTATGACAAGTACAATATTAAACTGAATTTGTTGTGCTATGATATTCCTCATTTGTAAGTTTGATTGAATCTGCTAAATGAAATTCTAAGCTTAATTTCTGACCTGTGTGCATTCTTTTCTGAGTAATAGCAAACACAAATAAGCGCTCATAAATGAAAAAGCACATCCATTGTAACACCCAAAGCAATATGTGACGTTCACCACCAGATGTCCCAATCACCTGAGTACTGACTCGCTCCAGTCAGCACACCTGCTGCTCATTTGTTCATGTATCTTTTGAGTATTTAAACACTGGGTTATCCTCAGCTGTCTGTCAAGTCTTGTTTTCCATAAGACTGTAAATCTGAGCCTGGTTTCCCTACTACATTTGTTCTGCTCTTTGGATTATACTGCTCAGAATTATATAGTGTGTTTACATCCCAATTCCTCTGCTTCTAATCTGCCATTACACTCATGCCTTCAGATGACTTATACCCTTCATATACCCTTCACATATCACTATCTTCCTCATGCCTCTCATGAGTGTGTGTATAAATAGACATTCAAGAGTTCAGGAGAGAGATGGTGGGGGCACTTCGGACAGATAAAGTGATCCAAAACTAAGACCGGGATTGGACAAAAACTGTATTTTCCTAGCATGGAAAAGCTTTCAGTTTGCCACATTTAGCAAAGACATTTGGGAGCACATATATCATTGGATAACATGATTAATGGGGCCGAAACAGAAACCTAAGAGCCAACCTGCCATCCTGCTTAAATCCTGTACAGCACAGCAGCTCATAAAAGAGGGATCTGTTCAGGCTAAAAACAAATGCATACGTCCTCTTTTTCCTGGACATGTCCTGGCTGGGGCTTTCTAAAATGTCTGGGTTTTGGCTTTGTTTTCCTATTGTTTTCATACTTGCCGAAGGTAATGACTGGAGAGTAGTTTGACCAATAGCATGCAGGCGTTCTACATAATTAGCCAATCGTGGCATGCGAGAAGGTGGGATCTACAGAGAACGGACAAAGCAATTCAAATATGCGTACATAAAATGTACAAGGACTGTAGAGAGGATCAATAGGAATACAAAGACAAAACTAGGACATTTTAGGCAAAAAAAGAGGACGTATCGTCCCCTGAATGAATAGCCATTGGGATGGAGGAATGTCTGGAGGATTTGGAAAACAAGTGGTCAATAACAAGCTATCTTACATTTACATTTATTCATTCAGCAGGCACTTTTATCCAAAGTGACTTACAAATGAGAAATATAACAAATAATTCATCCCAAGGAGCAGTCTGAGAAATTTTGCTAATATACAAACTTTAAAACTGGCTCCAATTCTAAAATTTGGAAGATTACAGTCTAGAATAGAGTTAAACTAACGAAATAAACTTGATCATTCATCTATTTTCTTCATTTATTTATCTTTTCTTTTTATTTTATTTGGCTGAATTATGAAATAAAAACCAAATGAATTTCTGAACCTATAATAAAACCCACGATGGTCATATTTCTACATTGCAGTTCTCTCACAAAAATTGTTTACGTCTCGTTCTGTTCATGCTTTGCATGTGGAGGTGCTAAATTTTAGGCTAACCGAACAATATGGATATTCGACTGCAAAACTACAGGAAAAGAAGATAGTGGACATCTATGCAACTCTGAAAAGAAGACAGTTTGCATCAGGTAAACTATTATTTTTTATCCTTTGAATAGAAGTAATTTAAGTTTTTAAGTAATTTAAGTGAAAAATACTTTTTATTAAAATAAAAATCATGCATTGGGAGCCTGTAGGCGCCTTGTATCTGTTTGTAGATAAAAAAAAGTGAAACTCTGCATATGAGTATCTGTTATTAAGGCCGTTTTCATTGTGCTATATAAATCTAATCAAATACACTTTAAGCATTTGGTCTCTCTAAATCCCTAAATCCCACACACATACATACAGTAACTCAAAAAAGTAAATGCATAATGCATGTGACACACATAACATCTCCTTCTGTACACACTATAAATACACCATGACGTCAAGAACACCAAATGAAGTGGCAAGTTATGTTATGAATGCTATTTATATTACGACATGAAACCAAGTTATGAAGAAACCAATAAAATCATGACTGAGCATTGAAAGATTTCAGTTTGTGCAAGCTGTTGTAAGATTCTTGAAGCTACAGTTACATTAGTCCCGTTACAAGACACACAAGATAACCTTACGCTCTGACATTCAGAGTGACCCAGTAAGCAACATCCGAGACAAAAACGAGCCAACAGTCACGTGACCAGAGGGAGCAAATCAAACAAAATACAGGCACAAATCCAAACCACAGAAAGGCCTAAAAAGATTCACAGCAAGTTTCGAATCTAGGAACCAAACTTAAGTCTTAGATACTGTAAATGTGTGACTGTCCGTCGTTTAAACTCAACTAAAAGTCCTCTAGATAGCAGAACCAACTCCAATGACACTATTAACACTATAAAACACACCAATATACCAAAGCCAATACCCACATATCATAAAGTGAACGTGACCTGTCAACCAAAGAAATTATAAGTGTCAGCAACAAGCACACTGCATGCAGAAATAAGCAGCTATAAACTGCATGTTTTAAGGATGTTTTAGGTTGAGTTGGAGATATGGATTAAACAAAGCAAGAGGGGCGACAGTAGTGGGTAATTTTTGTGTTCGGGTGAAGGATACAGTAAGTGTATTATAAGGAAGAGCTGGCTGCTGGAATGGGTTCAGGTTATGGGACTGCAGGATTTACTTCTGATGTGACAGATCTCTCCATGCTCTCTTACCCCTTGGTGCTTTTGCTGCTATGTGAAGAGTAAGTATTAGAGCTCTGCTGGTATTGGCTGATAGCAGACTCCGTCTCTCGGCTACGGTTGCCGCGATCATAATGGCGGTGGTGTTTCTGGTAGAACGGTATCGATCCCGACATTGCGTCCTCTTTAGCTCAGATACTGTCTTCAGTTCTCAAGCTCTTTTAGTCAGAAGATTCAAAACTTTCTATCAACACATTACATATGAGTATTACCCCCAGTGATTTGTAAGGAATAATTTCACAGTCAATTTTCAAATTAGTCTGAAAATATTTGGTGCATTTCTTGTTTATTAGCAATTTGCACTGTTGCGTTGAATTTCTTTTGACATGCCATTAACCTTGTTTAATTAAAAAAAACAAAACTTTCTAGGATGTTTTTTTTTTTTTGACAGCAGTAAGATCTTACTGATATCTTAGACAGTAAATTTAGATATATATACAAAGTTTAGACTTAAATCATTTCTGCACCATAAAGAATTTTAAACAGCTTTTTCATGCATTATGAGTTAAAAAATATGTATTTTTAATAATGACTACATGACTGCAAAGTTAAGCCGTTCTCATGGTATTTTTAATGTCAGGAATTTATATGTTGCAGTTTAACACAATTCATTAATTATATTCAATTCCATTGGCCAAAAACATGGTTGATGTTTGCATGTTTTGCTGTTTCATAATTGCTTTATTGTTTAAATAGCATTGCTAAATATAGGCTACCTTATTCTAAATGCATACCTTATTCTTTTTTTATATTTCCAGTATCAGTGTCAAAATGCATCATGTGTCCATTGCCAGCCCATGCAATGCGACAACATACCCCACAAAAAGTCAGCGTGTTAAATAAATCTATTTTCAATCTTTTTTTTTTTTTGACTACCAACCTCAGTCTTCCCTTCGGATTTAGTATCAATTAAGATTCATAAAACATCCTCTGTTTCAGCTGACAAACTTCATACAGCGGATCATCTCACCTTGCCAAAGGTCTGCAAACAGCTCAGAGCCGGACCGCAGAGCAGCGCGTCAGGAGCCCAACCAAGATCCAAATCCAAGCAAAGACGCAAACTGGCGCGGCGCTGTGAACGGGAGCTGCTGTCCACACAACAAAAATAATATTGGCGATGGCAGGAATGTCCAAGCGACTCTCACGACCTTTTATGGCGACAGGGGCCGTTAAATATAGCCGTAGTGCACAGGAGTATCGGCGCATTTTACGCTGCAGTTCTGTACTTAACGTAACTCAACGCGTTATATAAACTGGTGTTAGTTTATACGGTTGTCATATACAGTATAAAAAAGTATGAATGAACTAAACCTGTGATATTGAACATGTCCACTAAACTATAGCTCAAACAGAAACGATCTCATTTTCATCTTGGAAAAACTGCATAAAGTGCCTACAGTTTGAATCAAGTCAACGAAATTACTAGAACATTATTAATAATAAAGGCCAAACCTTATATATGTACATTTAAAAAGAGCTGCCTGAGTCCTTCAGAAGGAAATGTAGGAAAAGGTTTTAAAGCCATTTAAAAACTTTTCGTAATTTCTTCTTCTTCTACTTGAATAAAAGTCACTTTTCTAAATAATTGGTAAAGAAATAGAGGAGGGCTGGAGCTTCAATCTGACCAATTTTGAGGTTGATCGTTTAAACCCTCTAGCGCCACCAATGGGTCAAATAGGTTTACGCTATATAGCTTTAGAACTGCTTGGTGAAAAGTTGTGAAAATTGGAACAGAGACAAAAGAGGGTTGAAACTTCAATCTGGCCGAGTTTGGGTTCAGATTTTTCAAACAAAACCTTCTAGCGCCACCAGTGGGTCAAAGTTTCACTGATGTTTTTGCTAATAACTTTTGAACTGTTTTGTAAAAAGTTGTGAAAATTGGCACAGAGGTAGTGGAGGTTTTGGAGCTTTAATCTGACCAGTTTTTGGGAGTTTTCTTTCAAACCTTCTAGCGCCACCAATGGGTCAAACATTAACTTATGTTTACACTAATAACTTTCAAACAGCTTGGAAAATAGTCGTGATAACTGGCACAGAGATAGAGGAGGTTTGGAGCTTCAATCTGACCAGTTTTGTGGTCTGTCTTTCAAACTCTCTATTGCCTCCAGTGGGCAGAATATGCAGTGATGTTTACACTAATAACTTTCTAACCATTTGGTAAGAAGTTGTGAAAATTGGCACAGAGATAGAGGAGGCTTGGAGCTTCAGTCTGACCAATTTTGTGGTCCGTCTCAACCTTTTAGCACTACCAATGAGTCAAATTTGCACTGATGTTTATGTTAATGACTAAGGCCTGCAAGGCACAAACCCCCGGTTTCGCAGACAAGGCTTAAGCCTAGTCCTAGACTAAAATGTAAGTCTAAACTGTTTCAACTGAAAGAAACTTGCACTGACTAATCTTAAAATATATCATTGCCTTTGTTTTGTCTCAAAATGCACACCAGTAATGTTTTTTTCTAAGGCATGTTTATAAAAATTACTTAAATGTCCTAATTGAACTATGGCCTAATCCTGGTTTAGTCTAAGCCCTGTCTGTGAAACCAGGCACAAATGTCTTGAACAAAGCCAAAAGCAGGGCCACTTCAAGCAATAAAACCGTATCAGATACAGATAATAAGGGCTTGAGAGCACCTGACAGATCCCAGACAGGAATGTGATTCAGGCAAAAATGCCAACGCCTGTAACACATGAGAGACAAAAGAGTAATACCAGAGTGTTATCATTTACTCACTCACCCTCATGTTGTTCCAAACCCATAAGACTTTTGTTCATCTTCAAAACACAAATTAAAATATTTTTAATGAAACTTGAACTTTTGAATGAAAACTCTGATTCTGCAAAAAGTCCATAAAGACATTGTAGAAGTAATCCATACGAATCAGGTGGTTTAATCCAAGTCTTCTGAAGAGACACAATTGCTTTATATGATGAACAGATTTAATTTAGGCTTTTATTTGCATATAAACGTTGATCAGAGCACATAAATAGAGAACTTCAAATATGGTAAACTGAAGCTCAAAACGCACTTGCTTGACGTGAAAAGCAATGAGGATTGTTCTTGCATATCAAGAAAGTACAGTTGAGTTTGGGTTCATTTGATGTCAGCATGCAAAGGTTGGGCCCGTTGTATTTATATTTACCAAGCAAACTAGATTTTTCCGGTTTGTCCATGGAGGAATGGTTAGATTACCTTCATAAGCCTCTGACCTTATAGTTCTCTCTTCATTTCAAAGGCCTACATCTCAGCTGTGGTCTGCACTAACAATAGTCATGCTATTGTTATCCCCCATGACATACAACACATGCCAGCAACAGTGTGTGTGTGTGTGTGTCTTATTTGTATGGGTTTTTTTTTTCTGTAGGCAGTCTGGCACCATTTATGCATAGCTGTTAGACTTGCGTGAGACATCAAGGCATGCCTGCCACTCAAATGTTTGGAATAATTAAGATTTTTAAAAATTTTTTGAAAGAAGTATTTTATGCTCACCAAGGCTGCATGTACATTTGATCAAAACAACAGTAAAAACAGTAATATTTAATGCAATTAAAAATAACTCAATTTGAATATATTTTAAAACGATCCTTCGGAACCAATCAATTATGCTGAAGTGTTAACCATAATGCTGAATTACACCATTCTTAATAAAATAAACATTGTAAATTTTGTCCAGTTTGTATCTCTGAGCCAGTTGTTTTTGCGGAGTGGCTGTGGCCTTTACACGAGTATGCAAATAATGAGGAACTTTCATTTTAGCAATGTTTCTTGATTTTTACGCTTTGTTTTATCCATTTTAAACTCTTTTTATTAAAAATCAGTATGTTTGTTGAATGGTGCGAAAGAGGCAAGAGTTATTTTTTTTATAAAATGGCATAGGCCTATTCCAATTGGTAAAAGCAGGAAAGTGCAAGGTAGATGTAACTAATAAATTGAGTGAGTGCTTGTAGTTTATAAATACTACGGCTCATCTTAATGCCACTCTCCCAAAACACTTAAGGTTAAGCAATCATGCACAAAGTTCCAGTTATGTTGATGCCAGTCAAACCAAGAGAGAATAGGCCTACTTTTCCTGGAAAAGCGTGCGTTTGTGTGTGTGCATGTTCAGACCAGCTGCCTGTTTATGAGACTCTTGTTGTCATGAATATGCCTGTGTATTTTCGTCTTTGTAACAGTGTTTGGAAGAGCACACCTTTGGCTGACCCTGGGATTGTAGCATGGGTTTAACACAGCTGCTGCACTGCGTCTTCTGCAGGACTTTCAGCATATCATTGCTTTTTTCTTAAAATAAATTGCACTATACAAAAAATCTGATCAGAATGAGATGTATTGCCAAGTATGCTTATACACACACACACACACACACACACACACACACAGGGCATTTGTCTCGGTGACACAACCTTCCGGTGCACAGTCAGACTGACAACAAAGCTCTGTAAATAATTTATAGGGATATTTTTAATATGGCATAATTTTGAATGCTTCCTTAAATGTAATAAAGAATTAAACGCGACTGCGGGAGTATAATACGAATAATGACTTAAATGCTATCGTTTACAGCTAGCTTTTGTGAGAAAAGTGTTGTACAGAGTGCATGCTGTAATATTTCACACGTGCTTACAGCACAAGCACGCTCTCTTGTGGCCATAGAGTATAATGCAATGCTGAATAGATATCCTGATTTGTTTTGTTAGTGAGATACTACAGTAGAGAGATGACAGGAAAGCACTAGGAGGAGAAAGGGGAGCGGGATCGGCAAAGGACCTCAAAGCGGGAGTCGAACTCGGGTCGCCGTGAGCTCAGTTGCACTATGTGTGGACGCACTAACCACGAGGCACTGTTGGCGCCCACAAATATCCTGATTATGAAATATCCTGAATGGTAGTATAAGTCCCACGTGCCCACTCAGATCTTTGAGATTGACTTTTGGATGCAGCTTCCAACAAAGTTATTTATATCATTGAAGTTGCATGGTATTGTTGGCGTTAAAACTGTGGCAGAAATCACACATGCAGGTCTAAATTCACTCAGTCCAGCTGAATCTCAACTTCTGCTGAATACTTCTCCAAACTCAACTTTTCCCTGAGGGACATAAAAGGGATTTTTTTAAAAATTAAAATAAAGTTTTTGTCCGCATAGTTGAAATCAATCAGTCAACCAATCAACATACAAACAAATAAATAAATAAAAACACCATTCTTTGGACATGTATGATGCGTGCTTATAATGTACCGTTCAAAATGAAGACTTTTTCATGTACTTTCACTGTTAAAAAAAATTAAATGCACTTGAAAATCGTTCAGTGGCTGTATCTAAGTTTCAACCATGCAGTGTTGCAACTTTGTATAACACAGTATTAGCCTAAGTTCACTTCTCTCATTTGAAATGATTAAGAAAGTCGAGTTTAAACTCAATGAAGCAGAGTAGGCACAACTGGACAGAAATTTGCCCAGTTAAATAAAGATGTTATTATAATAACAGACAATTAATTCATTTGAATGCAATTTTAATTATAAATTGGCTTGAGGCTTTTTTTTTTTGTATGTAAGTTTTACATGCAAATATTTACAAATGTACATTTTGAAAGCATTTTTGATTGGCCGAGGCTTTCGTTTTACTGTTCTTTTTTTTTTTTTTTTACTCAATTCCATTTTTATTTTTATTTCAAACTATATTAGTGGCTCATTTAATGTATTTTTGTTTGTTTGTTTGTTTGTTTTTTGTAAACGACCAGTTTTTCAGGTAGGCTATGTATGATAAACAAATGTTTCAATCAATCAATAAATCAATAAATAAGTGACAATGCAATACATGTAACGTCTACTCAAATAGATTTTAGACCGTATATGGTCATGTTTAAGAACGATTACGTAGAATTCGTTGGGGGCGTGTCTGGAGAAACCAACGCTGAAGATAAAGGGGTGTGGCATGTTTATAATATGTCATTAACGAACTTGGTCTCATGATAAAAGTATATATTGTATAGAGCGTTTTAAACGAATTTTCTTACGGCTATTGCATGTCACGGCACCATTTTATGAATCGTTATATTTCATCCGGGACACCCCTTCAGTCTCACGTTGGTCTGGTCGAGGTTTGCGGAAGCCACGCTAAAATCCGGAAGTTTGGGCGGTGGTTGAACG